TGTGAAAAAGCAGAATGGCTTTGGTGGGACTAGACATGACTGAATATTATGTTGTCTGGATGCAGATAACAATAACTTGTATTTGTTTTCTACAGGTCCTTAATAGCCCAACTTATGGTAAGCATTATGTTATTAACTACGTATTAATTAACATATAATGTGGTTAGAATTTCTTGTTTAAGTTAGAATTTCACATGCTATTCTTAGATTATAGCCTTAATTTATTATTTTTGGATTCACTTTTCAAATAATTTCATATTTTGAAAAATATTTCAATATTTTAACATTTTGATATATGGAAATATTTTTATATTATAATATTTTGATATTTTAATATTTCATAACAATTATTTTAAAAGTTTATCCAACAGTATTGAATCATTTTAAAAGCTGACTGAAAAATATTAAATCTCGAGGCCTGTATACGTTTGCTAGTTAAAAAAACTATAATCCTCTCATTTTGTTCAGGAATTTCAAGCCTTAAAATTTGAGACAAATCATAAAAATGTTATTTTCCATGTGATTTCAACCTGCCTCTGTAATCTGTTTCCTCAGATGATTACACATCGTTTGGAACAATATTAGCGAGGAACAAAGGTGAGAAGTGAAGAAAAAATCTGTAATTGACTTGTAACTAATGTACTTTTAAAATGAAAAGGAGAAGGAGAGAGACATACTGTGTGTGCTTGTGTATGTGTGTTTTAAGTTCTGCATGTTATGTCATTGGACAGACAATGTATTTAAACAAAAAAATATTGCTGTGGGTATCACCTTTTACTTGGGTGAAGTATACTAGTGTGTAGCTGCTTTCCATATTTAAAAAAATAATTTTAAAAAATATGAATACAATTGTAATAAGAATTTAACTTTTCTATATAAGCACTTGGTAGACAATAGGTTCATTTTTTTTTTTACCATATAATAACCTCATTACACTATGTGACACTTAAAGGGACACTGTAGTCACTTTAAGCATTTCATCTCTTTGAATTGGTTATAGTGCCTGGAGTGCCATGGCACTGTCCCTCCATTCAGTGTTGCACCATGTTCGTGCAGTATGCCACAAAATAAGAGTACCTGGCCACCCACAGTCCGGCCCCTTCTGTATGTGTAGCTAAGGTAGAGATTACACGCTTCCTTGTTGTCATACCCATTCATACCGTCAGTTGGAACTTTGACAGGCTTAAAGTTGTCAGCTGACACTCTCAGCCAATCACAGCTGCCTATTGCTGCTCAGGCTAATACTTCCTTATTAGCCAAAGCAGCACAGAGGGGATGGATTGCCGGGGACTCTTGTTTAGCATTAAAACATTAAAAGTTTAAAAACTGTTTAATGCTGAAAGATGATGGTACCAGAGGACTCCAGACACTATAACCAGTTTAATGATATGGAGCAGATACAGTGCCTACGGTGTCCCTTTAACACTATGGAGCACAGGATACTTCAATTTTATGGCAATTTATAAAAATCTTGAAATACAAAACATTCATAACAACGAATCATGGGATAGGAAATAAATTAAAAATAAGAAATAGTAGGAAGGCTAACCTGTCCAAAATGGTTTCCTACAGAGCACTCCTAAAGGCGATGTTACAATAAGCAATAAAAATATATCTTTATTTCAAATTATGTTAAAAGGACAGATAACATGTATCCAGTGACATAGTCTATACAATAACACATAAAACAGCACACATGAGTAACACAAGTCTAAATTTGAGAGCAGTATACCAGGTCAATGAACCCATACCCAACATTAAGTTAACAAAATTAACTTTTTCAAGAAACTATGATCTCGTGGTTTATATCTCCTGACCCCTTTGATGGCATGCTTCTATATTCTCTATAAGACAAGACAGGGGGGATATGATAGAAACATTTAAATATATAAAGAGAAACAACACAGTAAAGGAGAAGAGTATATTTAAAAGAAGAAAAACTACCACAACAAGAGGACATAGTCTTAAATTATAGGGACAAAGGTTTAAAAATAATATCAGGAAGTATTACTTTACTGAGAGGGTAGTGGATGCATGGAATAGCCTTCCAGCTGAAGTGGTAGAGGTTAACACAGTAAAGGAGTTTAAGCATGCGTGGGATAGGCATAAGGCTATCCCAGCTATAAGATAAGGCCAGGGACTAATGAAAGTATTTAGAAAATTGGGCAGACTAGATGGGCCGAATGGTTCTTATTTGCCACATTCTATGTTTCTATGCAGCTTTAGATGTGTTCACTTTTGTCACCAGTTATGCACTCTTTAAATATTAGAAACATACGTGGCTTTTACCTTTTTACTTGGCCTTCCACAACATTTCATTATTCACTCCATTTTGCATAGTAAATTGTGCTATTCCTCTTCAACGAATACAAATTACTGCTGTCTGTGTACTCAGCCAAATACTTACAATTTGCTTTACCTCACTGTTGCCAGTCCTGTCAATTCAGTTTTTTCTATGCTGCTGAAGTCTTGCACTTGCAGTTGTTGTGTGAATATTAAAACAGAGATTTATACCTCAACATTTCTATGCCAATTTCTGTATCAAATGTGACACCCCTCCACCCCCACACAGACAAGTCCCCATGCACCCCACTCCTTCAGTCCACTCTCTTGTAACTTCCCTACCCATACCCTCCATCCTGTTGGATATTTTTGATTATGAAACTGTAACTGTGGCCACTACAACTGGTCCTGTTGAACCTTTTAGTTGTGTTGTTGCCTTTCTGCATGTATCGATAACAGGGCTCATTGAAATATATATATGCACACCTGTACCATGGAAACTCAAACATTGAATACATAAAAAAAAATGTTTTTATATTTTCTGATATATTGATTTATAACTGATATATTTTTATATTATAATATTTAAAAAAAAATATTTAAAAGTTTAGCTCATTAAAGCATTAATATCATTCGAAAAGCTTATCCAACAATATAATAATATAGCGAGGCTATAGTGCCTTGCAGAAGGTTGAAGCACATGGGCAGAGTTCTCTTCTCCTTAAGTGTCAGTTCAATTAACTATCCCCCACGCTGTATATTTACAGACATACTTTGTGCATACTGTGTAATGCAGCCTACAAAAGAACATTATAAAAAAAAAACCTATTAAATAAATAAAACTATATAACATGCAATATGTATTTTTCCCTATACTAGTTTATGTAAATGTCCCTATATTTATCTGTGCAAATTATGACACATCATGATACTTAATTTCAATTATAGTCTCCAACGCTGTATTTGTAAACTTGGAACAAAGAAGGGCAATTACCCCTCTAGTCTTATTTAGGTGTGTTTTAAAGCAGTATGCTATAAAACAACTGAAGGAATACTGTAAGCAGTAGAATCACTGCAGCCTTTGAAGTGGTTACAGAGCAAGAAATAGTTGCAGTGATATGCTAAGAGCACTGGGTACATCGGCTAAGCTGTCCCAATTTGTACAGATTCAGGTAATGTAAATATTTTAAGATTAGGTGGTGTGGTGAAAGTAACCTCGCCACTTGTACTTGGAGAGGCCTGCTTGCCAGCCTCTTGCCCTGTGACTATGGGTCCTGGGATGTATTGCCCTTTAAAAGCATTATTTGGGCTTATGGGGTTTTATTACACTATTTCTGTCCCAAGACTGTGGGCCCTGCAAAAAGACATGCTAAAAAAATTACTTCCATGGGGAAAATGTGCCTCTTCCTCTCCCCCTTTTTCCTGTCCTATTGTTCTCCAGCAGGGTGTTGTCCCAGGGACACTGCCAGACCAGTTGAAACTGGCTGCTTTGTCCCTCCTCAATCTCCCATCAGCCCTTGCTATTGTCTGACCCCACCCTTCAGTGTACTATAGGGCACTTTTAACATTGGACATATTGAGCGCTCAGATCCAAGCTATCTCGGGATATGTTGGACACATGGGTTAAACATTCTATAATATGAGTTATGTATTTTTACGTGGTTTTTGTAACAGTTTTTGATTTAGAGATATTTCCTGTTACTGGAGATAATTAGGTTACCAAAGCCACTTAAGCCAATTATCCCCAGGATAGAGGAGAAGATAGACCGGCCACACAGCCTAAATCCGTGGAACTGTTTTGGGCATGAAAGCCATGCTTGCAGTCGGTCAAATGTGACTTCCTGGAATTTCCTGAACCCCTGCTCTGATCTGGGTGATTTGTGGTTATGTTGTTCACCAAGATCAGGGCTATCCAGGGATGTAATATTTTTGGGGATATATTGTGTTTTGGGGTGTTTTCCATATTTTGGGGAAAATGTGTGTTTTTCTTCCTGTGGATAATTAGGCTATTGTATTAGCTGCTTTAATTATATCCCAGGCAGAGGGGAGGGCTTGTGTGCTGTATGTGGGAGTGTTGGACATTTTTGTATTGTTTTGATTGGTTTATGCCCCTTGTGTGTCTGTGTAACATCAGGTCCAGTGGATGTGCCCCTCGCCTGAAAAACTGTATAAATTGTGAACTGTATAAATGTGAATACATTAAACAGAACAGCTTGACCCCTTTTTGAAGCCTTGGCTCATGTTTGGGGGATGGAATAACTACACTCTTGGGGATTACTATAATCACAATATTCCCCTGAGTACAAGCTCTTGTAAGAGCTTGTTCCTGCTACGCTCTCTGGATTAGGAAAGGTCTAAACACTGGAAGCTGGATCCTGGTCTTGGGTCCAGGGTGGGTATAGTACAGCTAGATCCCGGTGCAGCTGCATCACTGGAAGTGGGGTCTGCAGTGCTTATGGTGTCTGGTGGAGTGCTTGGAATTCTCAGCAAGCACTAGGGGCATCACTTGGTGGAGGTACTCTGTCGGAGTGCCAGCGGTCCATCCCAGGTGGGTTCAAGTTTTACAGTAGACTGTTGGTCTGAGTTATATAACTAATCAACAATGTTTAATTTCAGGCATCATTGACCAACTACTTGAAGGTGACATCGCACCTCGCCCTGCACCTTCTCGTGGTGCCATGGTCTGTTCAAATTGCTTCTGGCCAATATCCCAAACTGGGACAGTTCTTCTGCCTTATACGATTGCCAGTAAATACAGTAAGCTATTCCCATTAGTTAACAACTCGCGAGTTTTGTTGCTGCTTTTTTTCACATTAATATCAGGAACTCACTTCTCCTTTCTATTCTCAGCGGAGTCAGAAAAGTCAACAATTAAAGGAGCTTTCGGTGAGTTTGAACTCTTCACCTGTTTGAAGTTTGTTGAAAGAACGACAGAAAATGATTACATCAGCATAGAATCTGGAACTGGGTAAGTTGAAATAAAAGGTAGGGAAGTCCTATTTGGTAAGATAAGAAGACAAACTGGATAGTTTAATGAGAGTTATTTAAGGTCACAAGACCTAATTCACTAAATAATGAATATTCATAGTCTAAATGAATGGATCATGAAGGTATGTTATCCTACAATGTTTTGAAGTAATCATGGTGCATTATGACTGTATTGGCAATGTTTAGATTTACTAAAGCCAAATGCAGTCAGGATTAGGCTGTTGTCTCACCGATTCTGTAAAATTAGTTCAGGTGAGTTTGGAAAATCAATGATTTCCAGCATGGATATAGCAGATTTATCAATAACCACAGGGGGATGATAATCTGAATACATCCAGCCAGATTGTGTCATGTGTCATGCAAGGTTGTGTCATGCAATCATGGCTAAACATTCCATGCGAAAGGCCAATGTTGTCTTTATGGACCAGAACGTAATGACAGAAAAGATTGCCATGAATACTTAAAGGGTTTAATAACCTAATTGTTTTTTATCTAATATACTAACATTCAACAAACATATGTATGCTGTTTTTTTAGGTGCTGGTCAAATCTTGGAAAAGTTGGTGGAAAACAGACTTTGAGCCTGAGTCAAGACATCTGCATAAACCACGGATCAATAATACATGAAACGATTCATACGCTGGGATTTCACCATGAACATAGTAGAAGTGACAGGGATAAATATGTAACTATTTTCCCGGAAAACATTTGTAGAGGTGAGCAATTAACAAATCAACATCCATGAGAAAACAAGTTCAAATTTGCTGTGAGAGGATGCCATGAGCCCTATTTAATTTCTAACTTCATATTCTGTAAACCAGTGGTTCCCAAACTAGTCCTCATGGTCCACCAACAACCATGATTTATGTAAATCCCTGCTTTTTTCCAATGGAGATACTGACATAATCTGGACTTTTAGTGGGTCTGAAAACTGGTTTGGAAACAGTGCTTTAAATGATTGAATACCTTTGCAGTAACCAGTAGGTTCTAGACTTCAAATATTAGCCCCCCAAAAATGCAGCGCTGTGCTTTAATAACATACCCAGTGCAATTCCATACAATATACACAACGTATTAATTTAAAGTGTCACAATGAGCAAATATTAAAACTTTTAAAGTAAAAAATGGCAAAAAGCTTTCAAACTGCACAAAAGACTAATTTAGATAATGTTTGATGTATAAGTCTGTCTTGGAGAACTGTCACATTAAAGATTTTTTGCACATTGTCACTGTAACGGATCCCCTATACCCCGGATGAGTATTTCCATTGAGTAGTCTCCTTAGTCCTGCAGAATGAAAGTATGATATAGCTCTGTGTTCCCAAACATCAGCCAAGACTTGATGAAGGGTGTAGTAAGACTGTTTTTATTAGGGCCAAGTGGCCTACTTTTATACACAATGCACAGCATAAATTACATTACCTAATACACACCCGCAATCCATAGTTTCCCTTCCTGTCCACACGTAAACTCCTCCCCTTAATTCCTGTAGCTGATAGATAATTGAGTCTAAATGACATTAATTTGATTATCTCTCAGATACAAGAAAATATACACAAAATCATATAACACCCCAAAACATAATAAAAATATATAATAACCACACAAATTATACATCCCCTGATCTGAGAGCCCAAGTTGTCCACACAGACTGCACACATGGTCCTATTCACAAAATAGTTTCAGTTTAGTGCTTTTGCCGGTCAACTTTCGGGATCTCTGGTGGATGAACCATAGGGTGTTCTGCCTGGCTCTTAGGCAGCGTCTGTTCCCCATAGTCTGTTTCCTCCAAAAAGGGCTCTCCTGGCCATTTTCAAAGCGGCCCAAAACATGGTCCCCCAGCCGAAAATAGTTCCATAGAATCGGGGCCAAGTACCGCTGTGGACCAACCAAGAACCGCAAAGTCTTCATGACGATTTTAGTTCCAGGGCATTCGCAGCTAAGTGCCACTGAAGACTGTTCACGTTTTTTGTCCATGCAAACGGCGACCAGGGAGCTAGCTTTCGGTTCCAGTCGCAAAGGGAAAGTGCCGAACCAAGGGGACCATGGGAAATAAAATATTTGGGGTCTTTACAGTCACTGACCTGGCCCATAGTCAGTGAGTCAGGAGGCCAGTTCCACTCTACTCCAGGAGTCTGTGGCAAACGGCTGTGGAAAGCACTGTTTGTTACAGTTACTTTAAAAGTTTTAACATTTCTTTTTGTAACACTTTATAATATTAAGTTGTGTGCAAATTGTTTGGAATGACATGGTGTAAGTTTTTTAAGTGTGCAGTACTTATTGTTTGGTTGATATTAGATGATTTTCACTTTGTATGTCTGGTGTCTGCAACTATACAATTGAACTATGAGCTCTGTATTCATCCAAGCGACTCAAATACAGATTTTAGTATATTAGTTTCTAGATTTTGATTGAAGTAATTAAGCAAAAAAAAAAATCGTTTTGGATCTAAAGAATTTCTTCTAAAAAAAAAAAATAAAAAAAAAATATTTACTGCAAAATTTTGTGAAGCCCCCAACAATTTTGGAGTGCCTGAAAATGAACAAAAATGGTGCATATCTTGTCCCTTTAATTAAAAAATAAAATAAGTCAAATCAACTCTAAACCTATAAATGAGTGGTACAAAGTTAATGTTAACTGGCAGTAGCTACTAGCAGCAAGCACAGCACATGGAAATCCAAATAAACTATAACAGCTCACCTTTAGTACTTTTTTAAAAAATTTGTGAATCTGGGTTTATTCCAATCTAGAATTCAGAAATTTAATTAGATCACCCCGATTTCGTGAATTGCAGTTCATACCTGTCTCCTGCTCTCTCCTATGGGACAGTGCTTTTCTCTCTCCTCCAGCTCTGCTTCACTCCTACTTGATATTTCCAGTCCTAATGTTTCTAATACCCCACCTCCAATAGTCTGTAAGCTCGTTTGAGCTTCAACCTATTGTTCCTCTAAGTTTTCTTGTAATTGTCCTATTTATTGTTACATCCCCCCTCTCAAAATATTGTAAAGCACTACGGAATCTGTTGGCGCTATATAAATAGCAATAATAATAATAATAATAATAATAAAACCAATCTCTAAGTCTTGTAACTTCCTTGCAATGAGTATTATAATTGTTTATATGACTTACACCTATATTTTTGTGCAGCAAGTCCTGGCAACTTTGAAGTAAAGAATACAAACAATTTGGGCCTTCCATATGATTATGACTCAATCATGCATTTTACACGGTAGGTTGAGCTCTAAAATAGAGATGTGACGAGCTTTGTTATAATGATCTATTCCATTTTCTGAAACTTTACAACAATAAAATGTCACCTCTTTCTTTACAGAGATGCTTTTTCAATGAATGGTAAAGATACTATGATCCCAAAACCTGACCCTACCGTGCAAATAGGATGGACAAATTGGCTGAGTCATCTGGATGTAAAGAAATTAAATATACAATATAAATGCAGTAAGTTTTTTTTTAAAAGGTAAACTGTTTCTATATCTGGCAACAGAACTAATTTTCAGGCAACATTATTATATGGAAAACATGGCAATGTCATGTGCCAAGGTAAGTGGAAATAGCTATTGTTTATTAGTGAAATTCTGACAATGTGACATTTCTATCAGTTTTTCAAACAAAATCCAAATTTTCTGTTTTTTAGCTCTCTGTCGGACAAAATTTACAAGGTTTTCTTCTGGCTATATCTTGGCTAAAGACGTCACCTTTGGAAAAGATAAATCCTGTGTCTGGGCTTTTCAAATTCCAAATAACTATAAGGTTAATATAAAACTAATTTGATAAATTCAGTGTTGCCAGTCACAGTTAGCGTTTTGTTCTCCTAACCGTGGACATTCCAGTTATTAGGCATTTGGATGCAATTTGTGAAAGATACCTTGTGGATTAAATGCCAAATTGCTTTCTAGTTGAAATGTTAAAAAGCATTAAACATTATAATATGTTAGGATATCAAAGGGTTGCTAATGAATTATTAAAAATCACTTTACCAGAAAATACCTCTCTGAAGCAAATTTAGAAATGCATATTAACATTCTAGGATATCTCTGTTTTGCATATAATTATAGAAAAGAAGCCATGACATTGAGAAAAGCAAATGATACAAGACAATGATTGATACAGGGAAAGCCTCTTAATCTGAACACTTTAAAGAGATACTCTGATCACCAGGACAGATATTGTATTTGCTCTGGTGAGTAGAATCTTCAGGCTTCAGGCTTTTTGCTGTAAGCACTGTATTTTCAGAGAAAATGCAGTATTTACATTACAGCCTAGGGAGAACTTCACTGGCCACTCCTCAGATGGCTGCTAGATGTGCTTCCTGGTGAGTGGTGCAAGGTAAGCATCACAACATTCAGTGTCTCCTCCCTCTGCATGCAGACACTAAACTTTCCTCATAGAGATTCATTGATTAAATGCACCTCTATGATGAGATGTCAATTGGCCAGGGCTGGTTTAACTTGTGCTGGCTCTGCCTCTGCCTCTGATCTGCCTCATTGACAGTCTCAGCCAATCCTATGGGGAAGCATTGTGATTGGCTCAGACCACCACATCCGATGTCAGCAGTCAGATTCAGTTAAAAGGGAAACAGGGTCAGAGCCAGCAGCTCCAAACTTGAATACAAGTAAGATTTTACTATATTTAGAAAAAGAAGGGGCCCATGAGGGCCAAATGGTGGGTTTAACACTGGAGGGTGAAGAATACATAAATAGACAAATTTAGCGAGAGAAAATCTGTCGCCAAATTTGTAGTGGTTGTGGGGTAATTAGGGCATAACGCACTGAAAAGATACTAAGAAAGATTAGAGCGAGCTTACAAAAAGCAAGACCAATACTAATCTTATTACCCCTATTGAAATTTCTGATCCAGTATTAGGCTTGGTGCTTTAATAGGTAAAAACACAAACTTTATTAAATCCCTACATGGGTAGATAAGTCACAAAAAATGTAATTCAATAACAAAGTGTCAAAATAATGTGCAAAAAAGAAAAACAAAAATAAGTTAAATTGATTAAAATAGGACCAACTGTCGGAGCATCAATGGAAAATCCAAGATTCAACCCACACTATATATATATATATATATAAGTCTTATTGCTCAAAAAGGAACTTATAAGGTCTCTAGATATATGGGGCAATTCAAAGCAGCAAATCCCAAATTGATTAGAGTAACAATCAGAGTGCTAGCGATGGAGGAAAAACGCCCCTATTGGTATATCCCAGCTAGTCATAAATGTGCTGGATTCATATGATGAAAATCTGCAGGTCCTGAAAGGAGTCTGCTTACTAATATAAAATGGTGTAAATAATGTAGCACTTCGTTATATGGAGCACAAAAAAACAAAAAAACGATTAGGATTATATGGTGAATGCAACAATCTATTGTGCTCTAAAGATACACTATGCCATATGAGCTATAACTGGTGATCAAAAAGAGCAATAATAGGCAAGTTAGATTGAGGTACCAAAATATTCCCTTTGTAGTTGTGCTGTTACAAATTAGGTTTTATACTAGCAAAAGGTAACCCATCAATAAGCTACCTACTAGGAAGTCCGACTAGCTTAGGCTAATATCAGTGAGACTGTCACAACTAGGTATAACTG